TTGATATTTGTTGCCACTTCAAGAGCCTGTGACCACCCCAATTACCCCTATCAAAACTCATACATTTCCAAAAAAAAAAAAAAAAAACCATAAATAAATCTGCATAAATAATCAGAGATTGAAAGCTCATCCACACCTAGAAAATTTTATTATCATTTGATTATCAAGAGAAAGAGCTCAAGTCATTTAACTGTCATCTTTCCAGAGCTGTAAGGGGGATAGAAATCGCCTCATAAAATACAGGCCTTGGCCTCATACTCTTGCCAGGAACAGCGGAGAGTTTTTCACAGCATTTTTAACCTCGCGCAAGTGCTTGAGTTCCTGAGATGATGGTGTACTAGATACCTCCTCTAATTGGGAGATGTAACATTTGCTCCAGCGGTCCTTTACAGTAATTTTAACCTCGTCCAAGTGCTTGAGGACAAATGTTACATGGATCTCCTAATCAGAGAAGGCATCCAGCACACCATCATCTCAGGAACCCAGCGGTCCTTCACAGCAATTTTAACCTCCCTCGAGGAAGTCGTTGCAGCCCACACAGCAAACTACCACCCTACATCAACGGCTTCAGAGAAGAACAAGACCAATCTCCGCACCGTCTATCATGAAATGCAATCCTATCATCGGATTTATTTGTTTATTTGTTTATATATTCATTTACTAAAGCAATCAACATGCCCATTTTATACTCCGTATATTCCAAAGCCCATCCGCCTCCCACCAAGAAATCCACTCTTCCTTCTCCCTCCTCCATTACCACCCCCCATGCCATAATCATATAATTAAAAGTTTCGTAGTCAACTTTTCGAAAATCTAACAGTTCTTCTACTCCGCCCATCCAAATACCTCGCACACCGCCAAGGTATTACTCCTCACCCCCGTCAACGCAACCAAAACCCCCACCAAATCCATAACAACCAACAACAGCGCAGCAAGCATAAACCTCGGACAAAACACCCTATACAGCATCAAATGCCTCCTCAACCACCCCGCCCAACTCATCGTCGTCAGCGCCTCAACAGCGAAATACGCGATAAACACCCCGAGCGCGCGGGCCGTCGTCTCGAGGATGCCGCGCTGCTTCGGCCCGACCTTCCACAGGACGATGAGCGGCACCGACACGGCGGCGAGGATCTGGCCCGCGAACGTGTTGAGCGCGACGACGAGGGGGGACCACGGGTAGCGGATGGAGAAGAGCGGGATGAAGGCGCTGTCCCATTGGATGCTGGAGAGGACGGCTTGGTGGCCTGTTTTGAAGAAGTAAAAGTTGCCTAGGATGGCGAGCATCACGGGGCCGATGGATTCGGCCTTGAGTTGGTTGAGATCGATGATTTCAGCTAGACAGAGAATCTGCCACATCATGAGGGCTAGAGCACCCGATCCCATGGGCTTGGTGACGAGGATGCATGCCGCGAGGAAGTTGAGCGGCAGGAAGAGATAGCGAGCGCCCATGGCGTTGCCGTAGCCGAGAATCGTCACCAGCTGGCCCGTCTTGGCAGACGTCGACAAGATGGAGATGTTTGGCGGCGCCCAGGCGAACGACGTCGATCCAGCGATAAGGGATAGCGCGAGGATCACCTGGGCCAAGTAGACACCAGCAGACTTGAGCGTGCTCTCAGAGAGCCTATCAGCGAGCCACCCACCGTTGTTAGCGGCATCAATAGTCCAGTACAAGGCGGAGAGGAAGAGGCCGCCACGGAAAGCGTATCCGATCCACGTAGGAGCCAGGCCCTCGTATGACTTGGACGGCATCAAGAACGCCTTGATGACATCAGGAAGGATGAGGAAGACGGCAAAAGGAATGGCGAGCTGCCAGGGGGCCGACGTAGAAGATGTGACGGAAGCGTAGTAAGTCGAAGTACAGTAGGGCATCTGCTCCTCGCGGCAAAGTTTCGAGTACGACGCCAACCGCCCAATGATGATGAACGTAACGGTGTGGTAGATGGCCATTGTGCGGTCCACCTTTGATTCGATGCGGAATGAGGATATCAGAGCAGCCACGCCAAATGTCGCAATGAAGAAGAGTAGGATGGAGTCCTCCCAGATTGTGTACGAGTTGGATGCGAACCCAATAGAGTGGCTAAGAGTAAGAACAACAGATAGCCATCCCCAGAACGTGCGCGGAAGAATGTTGAGAATCGACCTGCCAGAGGTAGATAGGGCGGAAATGACGCCAGTAATCAAGAGTGTGACTACCAAGGCTGCGAGACCATCCATAGGTTGCTTGCGATACAATCCCACGGCAATCAAGACTCCCACAACAAAGAGCACTCGGGCGTCGGCCAGTCCACCCAAGAGACTTCGGTGGAAATGCTGGTCCGGGTGCACCTCCTGGTCTTCGTGGTTCAGATTCATAAGCTCCAGCCGCCTCTCAGCGTAGTCAAGCTCAGCATCATTAGCCACGACAAACTCCTCGTCTGCGGGCTTTGACGAATACATGACCAGCATCACAAGACCAACAGCAGTAACAAACACACCCGCTACCATCCTGGGAACGTCGAACCGAGCCCACAGCCCCTTGTAGACCTGAAGAGTCTCATTCTCGAATTCCGTAAGATAATTGTAAGCGTCCTTGTGGGCCAGCCCAGCAACGTTGGCCGCCGCCCACAAAGCAGCAGGAGAGCCCGGTTCCACCGTCTGCTTAATACCACGGGCCTTGAAATACGACTGTCTGTATCTCTCGATTCCAGCAGATGCAAGTCGCGAAACGGCCTCCAGGTTAGCCCAGTCATTACCCTTTTGTCCCGCGAAAGCCTCCTCAATGGGCTTTCCGAGGTTGTTATACGGGATAGGGATACCCAGAAGCAGCGCAAGAGTCGGCACCAGATCAATCTGGTTAACAGGACGAATCTTGGCCGTAGCTGGCGGAACAGCAAACTCAGGTGAGGTTCTCCCGAAAACGGGTCGCTTCGAGTACATCCACAGAGCCGCCTCGACCTCATCGTCGCTCTCTCCTCCATGATCACCCTTTCCGTCCATGCCGTGATCACCCATAACAATCAGAAGCGTATCATGGTCAATTGATCCCGCAACTTTAGTCACAAACTCGTTCATCTGCTGCAACTTAGCCGTCATGGCAGAGTGGTCAGGCCCATAACGATGTCCCGCATGATCAACACCCAAGCAGTGACCAATAAGAAGATCCCACTGGCCGTCCTTGGACGACTCCAGCAGCGGAAAGATGTTGTCAATGACGCCATTGTCGACGGTGTGCAGGTCCCAGACATTGAAGCTGTCGTACGCCTTGCTGATATTCGGCTCAAAGTACTCCGGGAACAAGGACCACCAGGTATCATCCCCGAGATGCGCAATCTTCTTGCCCGACTCCCGCAGCTGCATCAGCAAGTTATCTTCGTCAATGGCAGTTCCGGCAAAGTTGCTCCCCGCATCGATAAACGTCGGCAGCGTCCCCGTCGTCAAGCCCTTGAGCCTTTGCAGCGTCGTCGTCGGCGGGTCCGCAATGAAGGGCCGCAAGAACGCATTCTGGGGCGCCTTGACAGCCGTGTCGTACAAGAAGGGGAACGAGTTGTGGAAGGCATGCGCCGCCGCCGGATCCTCTGGAACGGTAAAGTCGTAGCGCAGGGCGTCAATCAGAATCACCACAGCCCGGTCAAACTGCTTCGGGTGCCAGCATCCCTTGTCCACATCCAGCGCAGCCTGACTGGCTGCCAAACCCTCGACCGGCGGTGCCGCACAGCTAGACTTGTCGTCGAGCACGAGCCTCGTCAGCAGGAAGCCGCTCGCAAACAGCCAGATGCCCACAGCATGCACAGCCAGCAGCCACGTCCAAAAGGCCGCCGTCCACCACCACCGCCGCTCGTAGGCCTTTTGCCGCTTGGTGTTGAGCAGCTCGCGCTGCCGCTCTAGAATCTCCGTCTGTTCCTTTTCCGTCGGCAGGCCCTTTTCTTTGGCCTCGGCATCCCGAGCTTCCCGAGCCTCCCTGGCCGCCCTGGCTTTTGCGAATTGCTTTGAAATGGCCTTGTAGTCGAGGCCGTCGGCCGGCTTGGAGCTCTTTGGAGGCATGGTGTCTATCCGCGGGTCGCAGTCACGACGCAGGCCATTGGCCGCCTCTCGGGATTCAGACAGTAAAAAATGAATGCTTGGGAGACTGGACGGGGGTTAAAGAAGACGAGAATAGAATACAATTTGAAAAAAAGAAGGAGAAAGGTGAGAGATTAGACAAGGAAACAAGGCACAGAAGAAGAAGAAAAGTCGAGCGTCGGGCTACGGTGTTCCCCAGCAGAACCACATTAGCTAGAACAGCGAGCAAAGCTGGTTGGCTAACAGAGCTGTAGTGGAGCTGTGCCGAAGCCGAAACGATGAGAAGTGCAAAGTGGAAGTGCGTGAATAATTGGAATTGGAGCTTTTTTGCTTGTTGATTTCTGCACTGAGACATTTTAAGCTTCCAGGGGATCCGGCAATTCCAGAGCCCCCAAGTGTCAGTCAGGGCGTGAATTTGGCTGCCAATGGCACTCCAATTGGCATCAATTGATCCTGATGACGTCGGGGGTCCTGGAATTGCGCCTAAACATTTGCCGGCAGATGGAAAGCCGCGCTATGGCGTCAATCCATCAATTGGCATCGACTTTAACTCAGCTCAATTCAATTCACGGTTCCCATGAACATCAATTGACAAGATTAAACCGAATATGCGAAAATAACTAAACTGCGTTTCATTCATAATTGCCATACTATCAATAATAATAATATCAACATAAGCCTCCCATCAAACCCTCCCCCATCTGTTCAATTTTTTCTCACTAAAATGTACAGTCATATACGCAATGGCCCATCCCATCTCTAAACCCAGATCATCCCATCATCCTTGGAGGAAATTCCCATTTCATCTCAGGTATCCCATCATCCTTGGAAGAAATTCCCATTCATCTCAGGCGTCCCATCATCCTTGGAGCAAAATTCCCATTCATCTCAGGCATCCCGTTCCGTCATCATCTTTAAGAAGAGAAATGAAAAAAAATGACAAAAGAAAAAAACCAAACATTATCAATCAAATGCAGCAAAATGCAGAGTTCTTGAGAATGCCATCCCAAACGCCTCTAATAGATAAGGAAAGGTATCCTACGACTCAACGCATATGCAGCATCCCACCAAGAGAAAGGAAAAAAGAGATTAAATCACAATCATCACCAGCCTAGTTCTGTATGTACACAGGCTACCAATGGCTATGTTCATGAAGCTAGCGGAAGTCGAACACATCGTTTGCCAGCTGGTACCGCTCAAACTCAGTAGGGGTTGAGTCGTAAATCAGAATCCCCTCTCGGTATCATCATACGTGTCAGTCGTATACGTGTCCGTTCCAGATGGAGGAGGGTGGCTGCTGCTTGCTCTTCGTCGCTCCGCTCGTCGTCTTCTCCTGTTGTCTGCGGCCGACTCGTTGCCCTTGTCCTCCTTAATCTCTGTTGGCGGTGCCGTTGACGGCACGACTGGCGGTACAACCGGAGGCACAGCTGCTGGTCCGCTTGGGACTTCTGTTGGAGGTCCCATGCCACTCCATGTGCCATGGCTGCCAATACTAGAGACACTGGCATTGGGCAGCTGCATGCCCGGCGGTGCTAGGTGACCAGAAGGTCCGGCTTGAGCGGGTTGGGCAGGCTGACCAGAGTAATAAGCTGAGTCTCTGCCGCGTCTGTCCTTGGCATATGATGGGCCTGGCGGAGGGAGTGGCCCAACTCGGCTGGAATCGTCCTGAACTCTGCTTTCGGCCCTGCTCTCGGCTGCCGACTCTGCCCTCCTCTGGCTATCGTCCCTGCGGTATCGGCGACCCTTGGTAGGAGACTCGGAAAGACTAGATTGTGAATTCATTCGGCTCCTCCGCGCCAAAGACTCCTCCTCAGTGAGTTTTCGCAAGGTGACGTTTCGGTCCTTGTCTTGAACCCTCGACCTGGCGCCTGAAGGCTGGCTCGTCGAACTGCTGCCAAACCGTCCTCGCTCTTTTGCTGCCAGGTTACTAGCCCGAGCCGCCGCCTCAGCTGCAGCCCTTTCGCTGTCCATCTGTCGTCGAGATGCATTGCGTCCCGTGGGCCGGTCCGCCAGAGAAGTCACATCAGATACCTCGGAACGGTGGAGAACGCCATGGGGATCGCTGGGCATAGCAGGCATCGACAAACGCTCACCACGCCTAGGCGGAGGCGATTCACCAGGGAGCAACGCAGATGTACTAGGCGGCACTCTGACAGCAGCACTCAACGGCGCCTTTTGGGGTGGGCGTGAGAGCTCAGTCTGTGTGTCAAACGTAGATTCCGTCATGTCTGATGATAATTCGGTTCCTGTAACGGTGCTGCGCCTCTGGGGCGGACGGCGAGAGTCTCTCCTAATCGGAGATGTGTATTCCGTGTTGGTTTGGCTGTACCTCGAGAATTGAGTGCCAGACCTCATCTCCTCTTCTTCCCTGAATCGGTCATCTTCTTCTTTCCTAGCACGCCTGTCGGCAAACTTTTTGGCAAGCCACCCAACTCCCAAGGTAGCGAGCACACCCTTGGCAAACCCACCACCACCACCACCACCACCAGGTTCATCTCGCCGTCGCGAAGGAGAAACATAGGATGAATAATCGGAGTCATCATATCCTCGTGCATTTCCGCGGATATCCGAACGAGAAGGAGGTAGTGACGAACGCCGACCCGAGTCCCGAGCTCCAAAGGCGGAAGCGGTCTGAGTAGGGGCAGGGGCGCGCGACGGCGGAATGGTGGATGCATCATCGGTATATTCGCTGGCGTACTCGCTCACAGTCATGGCGCGTCCTGACCTATTACGGCGCGGGGTTTCGGTAGATACAGCCGAGTATTCCTCATCTCGCCGGTCGCGACGGCTCATGAAGTTGGAAAAGAGCTTTCCAGCACCGAAAACAGCCGCCGCACCCCCTAATGCCTTGAGCATACCACCTCCGCCGCCGCTTCGTTCTGGAACATCCGAGTATTTTTCCGAAAAATAGCTTGGCCGTGATGAGATTACCGTTGGACCGCGACTTCTCGACATGGACGGGGACCTGCTGCGGACTCGGCTACGATCATCATCGTGGTTTTTGCGTCCCCTAGCCAAAGCAAATACTCCTGCGGCGGCGGCCAGAGGGCCCAGCCACTTCAGCTTCGAATGGTGCTCATCTCTATGTTCGGAGTAGTATTCGGATTCGGTAATGCCGGTAATGCGAGTGCCAGCTTCGGAGCGACCTCCTGAAATGTAATGGTCTCGACGGCCCTCAGCCTGGTAGCTGAGAACGAAGTAGACCAGCAACAGGAATCCCATCCAAACAGCGTACAGGATGAAAAGAACCTTGGGCGATCCGTACAAAGTCAGTCCGAGGGGTATCTGGACGATTCCAAGGATAGCGATGGCCCTGCCTAGCCACTGATGAAGCATAATGCGAAGGGATCGCATCTTGGTAATGTGCTGGATTATTCGACCACCGACGAGCTGAACAACGAACATGACGTAAATGGCAACCCCAATTCCATGATGCGGGTTTGAGAGGGCTCTCTTGGGGCCTACGGCGAAGAAAGGCAATATGAAGGCGGCCGTCAGGAGCAAGAGCGAGAAAACCTGGAGCCGGGCGTGGTGTCGAATCGTATGGATCGGCTCTCTCGTATAGAACCTAATCAGCATCACAGAGAAGGGAACCAGGAAGAGGAAAACCATGGTGGCCAGGATACCGTGGGCCAGGATAATGGTATGGTATTGGTGAAGCGTGGAGAAGCGATTGCCCATTCCTGCATCAAGGACTGTCAGACAAATAAAGAGCGTGGTTGACTCAGACAGGTCAAACTAACCATTGTATCGCATGGTGTCAAAGTCGGTGCCCTGCAAGTTGGGGAGGAGGAACGTGTTCTTGGTAAAGTCCCACGTCCCATCCCCCACCACCATGGTGTCGGAATCATAGCTCACGGAACCGGGCGAGGAGAGTTGGTCTGGTGCCGGCGCCATGACGGCGACGACGAGGGGCGGAAAGCGCTGGCGATGCGATCAAAAACAGAGCGCGATGTGCGACGGCAGTTTGAGTGTCTTTGGGCCGATGCCCCCCTTGGCTTCTGCGCGCGGTTCAATCTTCCTCCTCTGTGGTATTTCGGCCAACAAACAAGGCGTGTTTCCGTCGTGGGGTGTCGCAGGAATGCCAGACTCGTGCGAATCCCGCCGCGACAAGGGCAAATGATCTGGATGTTTGTTTGTAAGTCGTCGAATGTGGGGGTTTTTGCGCGCGATGCACTGTGCTGTGCTGTGCTGTATCACTTCAATTGTCGCTGCAAATGCCAAAGCTCAACTCATTCAGTCGGGATCGCGTGTAGCATGAACATGGCCCAAGTCGCAAAGATGCCGAAATGTCAAAACAACAAGGGGACAGAAAACAGCTCCTCCGAAAAAGGTTGGGAGGGCAGAGAAATGTCAATTGCTGCAGCTTTAGTACAAAGTAGATGCAGCAGCTCCTTGGCTAAGACGGACAAGGCGGTCCATCCTTACGAGGCCTGCCCTGGCCTGGCAGAAACAGAAGCAGCTGGACCCTCCACTCCCAACTGCGCAGCTTCCCGTTGCGCGGGGCGACGGGAGGTACCCACGTACACCGCTAAGAGGATTAAAAGAGGCTGGAAACGGTTTATGTAATGCAATTGAGAGTCAATCATTGGACAGAAGACACTGGGCGAATCATGTGACAACACCGCCTCATCAGCGACCAGACAAGGGGCGCCACTTTTCAGGTCAGCTTGTGTGAATTTTTAGCTCATCAAGGTTGAGGCGATGAGTTTGTTTTCTTTTGCCTGTTTCTTTTTAGACGCCGTGACGAAGCATGACATTGAGAACAGCGCTTTCTGCTTTCCACAGTCTGCCAATTACTCGCCTGCACCACTATATCTGCATTAACTAGCACTACTGAGCTTAATTGCTGCTTGCATCCATCCGTTCGTTCGTTCGTTTTGACCGGCAGGCCCTTTTGCAGTTTGGCGCGCCGATCCAATGACACGGTGCCACGCCCGCTCAGCCCTCTTTAAGGACTTGACCCCTACAGGTGGCTTTTTCTTCCTGACATGGGCAGAGAGCATCCACCCAGGCCTTTTCGATAGTACGGAGTACTGTTTCTATAATAAAGTATTACGAGGAACACGCAAAAGAAGAGCCCGTCTTCGCTTGCTTCTGCTTTTGCATTAGGCATTCCCGCAAAGGCTAGTCGTCTCTCGTCAATCGGAACTTTGGTGAAGTCGCCTCAACTCTTCTCAGCTGCACATGTTCCTTATCCCCCCCCTTGTTGGTGCGTCAAGTGTGTACCTTGGGAGAGTAAGAATGGCGGCCGTCTTGGCTACCGTACAGTAAAGGAGCCTCCGTCTTTTTTAGGGGCCCGATTGGCGGTCTACTCTAAAGGCCTGCCAGCGCATCGATCGACCTGAAAAAGGAGGCTATCCACGGATCTGTGTTTTACCACATGTCACGGAGAATAGATTGTGCAAGTGCTTCATACTGTAGTGCGCCGTGTTGTGTTTGTGATTTGAGTCTATCCTTAGCTTCGCTCGCTCGACACCGCTATGGTGCAGATCCTCATCGCACCAACCAACTCTACCCTAGAATCACCCACGTAACGAGCATTTGGCGGGTAGAAAGCAAAGTATCTCACATTTGCCGATAATTTGAAGTAATGTTTTCAATATTGATGGTAAAAATCATGATTTATTCGATATTCATAGAGCATTGCTCTTCCCTGAACCGATGTTGAGCGAGGAGTATTATTGAATGTCAGTGTAATAAGTCATGTGAAAGGAGACATCCTTTTATGCTTGCTCCTTACACCACAGCATCAACACATCTTGCAACTCTTCCATAAGATAATTAAGACGACTGGGAATTTCTAACCATAGAATAGAAATTCGACAAGGAGATTCATGACTCATTAATATACAAATAGATCTTAGGTACCCAAATATTCCAAAATAGAGGTCGTCTCACAACGGCGCCTCAACCGACGCTCTGGCCCTATTCAATGCTCCTGACAGTAAGAAATTTCAAACTCCCCAATGTAGACCCGCCTGGTTAGTTACTGTGCAGGCGGTCTCCTAGTATGTAAATGTCATTTCCCCAGTCTCTATACCTAGGTACTTTCCAACAGACACGTCATATCTACAATATCCTTTTCTCTTTTTTGACAAGAAAAAGACTTACACTCAAGCCTTGCTTTATCCTAGCAGATGGGCTGGCGGCATGCTATCAAAGTTGCTGATGATGGATTCGTCGGCGGCGATGCTGTTCATAACGTCTTCCTGGGTGAATCCAAGCCAGTACTGCGGGTTCTTTTGCTGTTCCTTCTTGATGTGGTAAATCTCCTGCGCTACACCCTTGACCTGTCCTCGTGCTCTCTCTGCGGCGCCCCACACGGCAGACAGCTCATTGAGGGCGCCAATGTTAAGGCGAATCTGCTGCCTTAGGTCGTCATCGTCGTGCTGAATGAAGAAGAGTGCCCACTTATTGAGATGCACAATGGACGAAAGGGTGATGACGCAGGTGAAGAAGTGAGTGTGGGAAAGCAACGGCACTCGGTGTGTAATCAGCTTGCTGATTCCGTTGGCTGATGTTATCGTATGCTTCGTGTGCTTATTGAAGAGGTCTCCAGCTGGGACTAGCTGGTATGGTGCGCAAGAGGTGATTTTCTCGGACGGTGAAGAGTCGAGCTGCGAATGAGGCTGGTGAAGAAGGATGGACGTGGCGTACATCATCATGTGCGCCTGGAACATCATCTCATCGAGCTTACCGTCAGCCGTAAGTGAGTCTCTCTTGTCCTCGGGCAAGTGAAGTCGCCAATTGGTAAGGAGATTCTCGATCCTCTCCAGGTTCTCGTCATCTGGCCCGTAAATGGGAGGGGTTCTCATGAATCTGCCTAGGTTACGGCCACACAGAATTCTGTATGAAAAGGAGGAGAAGCGGCGCTCATCACCGGAAAACTCCCGGTCTTCCAAATCTTCCAAACTCATAGGTTGAGGTATGTGCTACAAAGAGAGTGTTAATGCAAGAACAGTCTCGATTGGGGTGGAAATGGGAGAGGTTAAGATAAACAAGAGCTGTCTAAGTGAAACTTACCCCAGACAAATATTGGTGCTCCTCACAAGGGAGGCTGACTTCGGCGGGTACATCATAAAGTAAAAAGTTGGTCATTCGGTGGACACCGGCAACCATGCCGTCAATGATGAACAGATCCCACCATGTTCGCCGCCAGCTCTCCTCTAGCACTGGGTTGCTTCGTCCGTTTAGAGTAGCAAAGTGCGCCTTGTTAAGGCCAATGGAAAGAGCCAGCGTCTCCGTTCGGCCAAGTAACTGGGCCGCCTTTTCATTTTGACAGCAGCCATCTAGCGCCACAATTGACAGCATCATCGCCTGAACCTTGAAGCCGTCCTGAGGTTGGGTCAGGTCGTCTAGAAGCCGCATGGCGTCATCGTACAGACTCAGCCGTGATTTGCCCACATCGATGAAAAGCGATCCCACCCATCGGATCACGGCCATGAGTGGGTCGATGGAGTTTTCGCTGGCATAGCGAAGCAGGTGCTCCTTGGGGAGCACAAAGGGGTGTGAATCATGAAAGTAACGGTAGAAGGAGTCGATGCACCTCTCCTGGAGGGTCTGCATGGGAAAGTGAGCGGGGAAAGGGAGGTGGGTACCCGTCACCATGTTGGCGGGCTCCATGCCGTTGATGCTGCAATACGACCGGTATAGCTGTGCCTGCGTGACGGCAGGGGTGGTTTGGAAAGGCGTCGCCGGAGCATCGGCCAGCAGGCCGTTGGGGCTGAAACTCTGCATGGCCATCGGGGTCGAGGGAAGCGGCACCGGCATGGCGCTGGAGACACCGGCGCCGAGCAGCATGGGGCAGTCTGACGGAGCGATGCTGATGGAGTCTGTGTCGGGAGGAGATGTGGCATGGCGTTTGTTTGGGTTGTGTGCTGGTCCTCGACGGGGTCCCTTGTAGCCGCGTCGAGATGCTACGTAGATGCACTCGAAGTTGGAGCCGACGCATCGAGAGCACGGGGTCTGCCCATCGCACTTGAGATGCTTGCTCCGCTATACGATCGGACGCGAACTTGTGATTAGCGAGACGTGATCCATTGTGTCAATGCGCAATCGAATGATGGGTTTGGGTCTCTTGGCAATGGTGAACATGGCGAGAACAGTACGAGATTCATGGATGGAAAACTACTGCCACCAGCATGCGATTCTCATACTTTGCTTCTCCTCCTCCTCCTTCTCCTTTCCTCCTCCTTCTCTCCTCCTCTTTGCTCTTTTGCTTTTTCTTTTTCTTTTCCTCTGCTTCTCTTCTTCTTTCTTTCAAATGACTCGTTCCGAATCAATGCATCGAGAAAATTGGGGTTTCTGCATATGTCGCTGGGGTATCAAACGAACGCCCCGAAGCGAGGTCGGCGATGATGACGAAAAGGAAAAAAGGAAATAAACCAATAAAACCAATAAAAGCACTGTTTCACTTACGCAAGCCAAGCAAGCCGCAGGAACAGCGGATTCCCGCGAGCGTCCATCGCTGTCGTCCTTCAGCTCGGAGGCCTTGACTGGGTCCTCCGGGCTCCTGTTAGCCAGGCCAGCATCGGGCACGTCGGCGACTGCGAGAGGAATCCGGACTCCATGCGTCGGGGAAATCGGCGACTGAGATGCAGATGACGAAGAATCAGGTGGTGACAGGGTCCCGACGGGTGTCTGCTGCACACCAGAACTGTTGGCCATGGCGCTGGTGGTTGAGTTCGTCAGACGGGCCTGGACGGGTGAGAAATCTTGCTGGTAATCGAGAAAAGAAGAAAGTATGGAGAGGAAGAGGAACTCTTTGATTGAGGACTGAAGCTCAGGGGAGGAGGTTCGCTGGCACGTCCGGGGTGGGGAAATTTTATGGTTCAACGGTGCGGGCAAACGTGCTGCGGTAGTTCCAGGGACTCCCGGCTCTCTCACTCCGCGGTAGCAGGTACTTGCGTCTTTCCCGTGTGTTTTCGTCACTTGAGCCTCGAGTGGACTGGCTAGCAGCGGACGGGAAGCAGGGAGCCGTAATGAATGATATGAACAGGGCACATCAAATTGTGTCTACCTTGCTTGGATTGCTTGTTGGCACAGGGATTACGATATACGATGAATGCCTAGTCCTCGCGCCTATTAGTATAAGTGCCCGTTCCAACTGCAACCCGGAAGCCCGGGAGAAGCAGGCAATGGTTGTATGAATAATGCTGTTGCCTCCCTCGTGCACTCTCTGGTTGAAATCTGCCTGCAACGAAGCACAAGCGCCGATTGCTGGATTCAAATAAGAGCGCAGAGCATCGGAAGTAGAGGGTACCAGGGGCGATTGCGCAAGATGTACCTGAGACATTAAAACAGAGTTGGGCGATGCATCTGGTGGTACCGTCAAGTACCTGTCCGGGGCCCTGCTAATCTCGACCGGCGCAAATGGTGTTGGATCAGTGAACCATCCGATCCAATTACTAAGATCGAGTACATGCATGTACATTTGATAGCTTCCAAGGGTGCCATGGAACGGGAGGCAGTGCTCCGAAACGAATCCCATGGAATTGATACAATATGACAGCATAGCATAACATTCCGTTGCACAGCACAACAGCACATTGATCACATCTTCAGACTCATCAAAAAAAAGGGCTGTTCCAGACATGCAGCCCAAGCACCGCGGCCCGGTAGATGTGAGACACGGCCGGGCTAATCGCAGAGTGCAGAAAGTTGGAACTTATTGGCCTCGATCTAGCGCCATGCGCCCTGTTGCCCATATTGCCTTAGCGGTACTAGGCACCTGGCACAGTGGTTGGACGCCATCGCGGAGCCCTCTCCGCAGGCCAAGCCGCCTGTAAGAACGCTGAAAGCCCGTCAGATTGCTAGCAGAGCGCCACTTCCAGCCATGTGCGAGAGACAGAGACGGAGACGGTACGGTACAAGAATTGGATGGATTGGATTTCGGATTTCCAATTTACGTGGAGATAAGACGGCAGCCGCGCAAAAAGTTGTGTTCGAGTACAGCAGGGGATCGCACATTGAAACAGCCCACTGTACTCCTTTTTTTCTTTCTTTCCTTTTTGCTGCCAGCCGTCCGCATGACGAGCACACCATACCAGAGTTCTGCAGGTGAAGTAACCATGTACCTACCGGATCGGGATCACGATGCGTGAATACACGTACCTTCACCATCAAGCACTCAGACTTGAGTTGAGATAGATATCAATGGATACTAGTAGTAAAGCATCCAGCCACTTGCCGGTAATATCGGGCTTTAACAAGGCACCGACGATGAATCTACATATATCTATATGGCAATCTACAGAGTGCTAGGTGTAATCCATGGATCTTACAAGTTGCCCATCTTCTCCGCAACTGCACCACTAAACTTCTGACGCTATCCGCAGCGGAAGCTGGCTTGAACCCACCCACAACGAACACAGACCAAAAGGGCCTCTGCTTTCCCGGGGGCCCAACTGTAACTGCAAGGGAGCACAAACACTCAATTACGGAACCCAGCGACATTGTTCTCAGGCTAATGCAATCTGTAAAATGAGATCCAGAGCAAGCCGCCTTTTCGCGGGCCAATCGCTACGCCCCGTCGTTCCGACGCGCGTGTTCACTTCTCACAGTGTCGTTTTTGCTGTTGCTGTCGTGTAACCCATCAGACGCCGAGACGCGAGCGCCACCCAACAGGAACTACTGCCCTGGTACTGACTTGTACTATGTAATTGTGCCGAACGACTATTTGTGGATGGAGACCGATCTAAGCCTTATGTTAGGGGGGGGGGGGGCAAAGGGGCGAAAAGAAACACCAGCAAGATGGCTCCGTCTTCGGGGATTTGCTCTCAGCCTTGGATCGGGCGTCTTGTTGAGCCCTTTTCCGTAGGATAGGCGCCGTGACTCTCTATGTTCACGTTGGGTTAAGGACTCGTATGTAAAATAGTTGGCTTTTGTTGGCAGAGAGGTAGGGCAAGCGTAGAGTTGTATAATATATCGAATTGTACTCGTATATGTGGCTGTACCTATCATAACACAAAAGAACATCTTCACCACCAACACCAACAATCCTCTCCCCTGCCCCTTGTCTCGCCCTCTGCCGCCGTCGGTTCGGTCCACGATTCGCCATGCCTCGGTCCTCTTCCGCTCCATCCCCACACCATCTCGTAGGCAATTCGCTAGTCCCGTCCAGCCCTCGTTACACACATGTAACATGAATCTTGGTGCGCCATACCGTACAGTACCAATAGACAACATGGCCTGTTTGTGCTTGCATCAGCCTCCAATTCTCACCCAACAAACTTGAACGTCAAATCCCTCGGCACGCTGACCAGGGAGATTCCGGCCTGGATATCTGACAAAAAGTTATTTTTCTACTGGGAAATCTCGGTGTACCAGAAAGACAGAGTTATATTAGCTATTACGGCATGCTACATCTGCATACATGGATCCCGTCTCCCTGGCTGGCCTGGCTCTTGGCGTTGCATCCTTGGGGATGCAAGTATATACCTCCTGTATTCAAGGCATGTGTTTGGCCTAGACTCATTCATGTGATTGAAGCTGGTGTGCAAAACTGTGTTAACATTCTGCCGAATCTTCTTTACGAAAAGGCATACAATTGCTTGTTACGGCTCTCGATTATGATGATGATTGTAAATACCTCAATCTACGCCTCCGCCTGGAGCAGCAGCGTCTGTTCGCATGGAGCGAGACATCTGGACTGCTGGATGTGAACACGGGAAACCAAGACCGTATCCTAAACTCAAACGTTTTCAATCTCCATCGCCAGACTGTGTTAGATCTACTGGTGCAAGTCCAATGCCTGTTTGACGAGTTTCTCGAAATCCAGAACAAGCACAACAACCTTACTCCCGTTCGCGACAATGGCGACTTCCTCATCTCCCCCGAGCAGGACGCCAAGCAGGCCAGCTTTCCTATATCAGAAAAGAAGAGGCTGTTTATTAAAAAGGCCATGATGAGTCTCAAAGAAAAGTCACAGGAGGGCTTGAAAAGGCTCAAGTGGGTATCCTTTGACAAAGAAGGGTTCGAGCACTTGCTGTCCAAGTTTACTCTCTTGAATGACAGCATGATGAACATCCTGGACCACTCGTTGCAGATTGAGATTCGACACACGGTGCAGGATACCAACCGGGGCGTATTGCTTCTTCATCACAAAATTGCCGACCTTAGCCATCTTGTGTTAGCTCTCAAGGCTCAGCTGGAGGCCAGAGATGTTGGCGCATCAACACGCACACGAATGTCGAATGTTGAGAGAGAAGCAAGCATGGCCGAGCTGAGGCAACTTTCCAAGCTGGCCAAATTCAAGGCGTTCAATGAGACCATTGACCCCAAGTCGGATGCTCCCGCGGTGATTGACGAAGCTGTGGCGGCCTTTCTGGGGCTTGCCAAGCCGGGAGACCCGCGTCTTGTCCAGATGCCCAAGTATCTCATAGAATTGGACCCCAACGTGGATGACTTGGATGACCCGCGGTGTGAGGCCATCATGAAGACTGCCCAAGGGAAGAAGAAGGTGTGGATCGAGTGGAAAGACTACGATACCGCGGGAACTCCTGGTTGCCTGTCCAAAGCGGACATTGTCGACAGAGTGCGGAAGCTGGCTTGTTTGCTCAACCACAGTCCCAAGCCAGAAGCCTTTCGGACGCCTCATTGCATCGGCTTCTTTGACAAGGCAGATCCAGATGTTCCGGAGGATGATGTCGACATTCTCGACCGGCGGCTGGGTTTGATATTCGAACGCCCAGAGACTGATGATCTCCATGACAGCCTCCCACCGGTGTCTTTGAGGGAACTGCTCCTAGACAAGGCAATCCGCAAACCCAGGGTTACAGACAGGATCAAGCTGGCGCATGCCCTCAGCAACTGTCTACTCTATCTCCATGCAGTCAACTGGTTGCACAAAGGTCTTCGCAGCCACAACATTCTCTTCTTCAGAACAAAGTCGGGCCATGTAGATTATTCTCAAGTCTACCTCTCAGGCTTCGACTTCTCCCGCCCCGGCGGCTCCGACGAAGTGACTGAAATCCCCGGCTCCGACGCAGAGCACGACCTATACCGACACCCGCTGGCGCAGTCAAACCAAGGCAAGGGCCGCCAGCGATCGAAGAAGAGCTTCGATATATATAGCCTCGGCGTCATCCTGGTCGAGCTGGCGCACTGGAAACCCGTGGAGGCGGTGCTCGGAATCGAGATGAGGCTGGCAAAGGGCCAGTCGGACGTGGTTCGACACGTGCGCAGCCAGCTGCTCGCTGCTGAGAGTGTAGCTGATGTCGGCGCTGAGATGGGAGAGAGGTTTGAGGAGGCGGCGAGGAGATGCTTGACGGGGGAGCACGAGCTGGGTTTGGAGGTTGGTGAAGACGAGACGGCTGATGAGGTGGCGGAGAGGTTGTCGGTGCGATACTATGATGATGTGGTGAAGAAGCTGGCGGAGATTGTGGTATAAGACGGATATCATTGAAAGCTGCGTAAAATGAGGTAGTAAAACCATAACGAGAAGCCAAAAGGGACTAGATAAAAAAGAAACATGAACATTAATGAGCACATGGTGGAAACCGAATATGTAAAATCTCTTGATATGTAAAAGTTGTGGGTATTGCTCTATTCGTCGAGACTGAATAGTCTGGGATATCATATCATTAAATGGCCAATACAGCCAAAGAAACAAAGCTCCTGGGAACATGTCGTTCCCGTTCCATCAAGGTATTTCCATGTTCAATATTATATCCTTGCGCAACACCGTTTAGCAGCAGCATTCGCAGCAGTCCTCAGTGCACTCGCAGCACTCGAAGCAGGCAAGACCGGCGCAGATACCGCAGCAGATGGCCTATACAAGGAACAAAATGTCAGATATCAACAGATCGGATCGCGGATGTGGCGTGCTTATTGGGGTGGGATGGAGATATATATAGTAGTGGTGGCACTTACACCCTTCTCGCCCTCGCCACCTCGCATGCTAGCGGTGGACTCCATGGCCATGGGCTGGATGGGACGCTGCAAACGAAATAGTGTTAGCAAGACAAGCATTTAGACATTTTTTCTTATCTATATGTGCATTGTGTATAGATTTTGTTGATTTCTTCGTTCTAATAATCGTGCTGAACATTGGAAAGCGAATGGGCGTCTTGGGTTGGCACATACCGGCTGCTCGGAGCTGACTCGGGCAGGGGACTCGGCAGTCATCTGCTGGGCGACCATCTGGGGCTGAGGAGAAGACATTTTGTTGATTGTGGTTAAAAAAGAAAGGCGTTGACCGTTTAAAATAGTTTAGCGAAGGTGATTTATTATCGTATACGAATAGTAGTAAGAATGGGAGGGAAAAGAGAAGGGGGGGAAGCTAGGTAGATGGGGTGGAGGACCGGGACTCTTTTTAAGTCAGATCAACTTATCGTGGGAGGGAGCTGCTTTGGCCTTCGATAACAACGAAACGAGCGAGACGCAAACGCCAGCGTCAGTCACACACTCCAGGGGCGCAGCATCAGCTTATTGCTACGTACTAGCCCATCAGGACGATCCCGTTTACCGCCCATCGAAGAAACTGAGCCAAGCAGGAATGGCATGTTCGGCTGCTCGCTTTTTTGGGGGTTTGGTGTCTCGCACTGGCGCTATAACAGGTATCCTTCATGCGTAGATACTACCACATCCCGCCTAGTCCGGAGGAACTGGATTGATAGTATTGATTAACTGGATTGATATTGATTGACTGGGCTATGGAACTCGGGGTGGAACCACTGGCCAGCTTTTTCTGGATTTCTGGGACACGAAACGACATGGGCGGGCGGTTTGCACGGCACGAATGAGCCGAGCGGTGCTTAGCATGGGATTTGCTCATTGGTGGACGAGGGCTTTGGGATTGTCGCGATGGGGCTTAGTGGGTGTTTTGGGTGAGTTGCAAGTGTGTTGGCATTGGGTGTTTTTTTTTTTTGGTTCAATGCTTGTTTCTTTTGCGGCCTCCCGTGGGAGTTTGCTGTCACTGATGGAGATGATATCGTGAGGCGATGCAGGAGTACGTACGTACGTCGACGGAGATTGTCCGTGAGAACCCGAGTCCGTTGAGACTCACACATGTGATATACTTGTATACAAGAGATGAATACGAGTAGTACTTCAAGCATAAACACCAGCCATCGGGATTCTTACCCAGCTCAGAGATACTCAAACGCGTGTACCGGGTCTTGTTCCCACGGACGTGTCCGTGTCCAATTGCAGACGCTATTACAGCCACGTCTCAAGGTCACAAGAATAAAGATCTGATGCTAGCAACAGCCACACGCATACGCACTCCCACAAGAGGTATAAGCAAAGAAGCAGACATGTCACAAGAGGACAAGTAAGGAGCAAAATAGACAACCACACTAAAGAAAAATAAAATAAAAAGAAAAAGATACTCGTAGAATAATGAAGCTAGTTTGGGAGAAGGCTGGCTGAATCTGCAGAAAGCAGTGGTACACCGGTGTTTGTATCTTCTCTCCGGCATGACGAACTTGCGTTACAACACAAGAGGGAAACAAAATCCCTGGCCCGTTCATTTTTCCTAAATCGAGGGGACACAGCTACAGCTCAGGCGGGGCCCCATTAAAATCGTGGCTGTTCACGGCTTCTCGGCATTGTGGTGCCTGAAGCCGTGCCGCTGTCGTGCGGGATCCAGAACATTGCCGTATGGATTCCTACGTGCTGTAACCCTATTGTATCGGAAAATGAAGGGGAAAAAAAGAAATGGAAAGGAGATTGGAGGGATTGTACGTACGTCAGAGAGGCGAATTTGCCAGTAAAAATAGAAGCCGCGCCTGGTAGAACGAAGATCGGATGTCGCATCTCCAGTGATTGGACTCTTGGAGGAAATGAAATAAAATGACATATTCTGGGGAGGACATGGCTGGTCCCTTGCGGTGGACATCACTCAGACCCTGCGTAATTGAAGGTGGTCCCTGAAAATCGCATTGATATTGTGACGTACGACGTGTAAACCTGCGACACCGCCAATTAAAGCTAGAATCATCGAGCTTCTCTATGTGGTAGTCTTCAAGTTTCATCAATAATTTGGTGATTGTAACGCAGGCATTGATCTGCAGTATATGATTTCAGACCATTAAATCCATCTCGTCTCTCACACATCTTGTGTCTTTGCTCAAATATGGCTCTTGCTCCAGCCGAGTCAACACACATGTCAAAGCGTTTAGGCTTGTCAACTAACATCCTCGATCCCAAGTGGGACACACGACACGCATCATCGATTTCTGTAGATTGTCGAACCATTGTCAATAAACTCAATCACGATTACTTTCATGCTTAAAAGCCCAGTACACCCCTCTCTACCTACTTAACCTCAAAATCCCAGCTCTTGCTACCCCATAACCGATGCGCCGGATCTAGCCCATAAAAAAAGCCGCACCTAGCTAGATCGCCATCGTGACCTGATCTCTAGATTGTAACTGTCAAAGGACCCAGATCACGCGGACGGGTTAGTACGAGTAGACGGACATTAAGCGGCTACAGAGCCCCCGACAAGCAGAGACTCTATTGCCACTCGATTCAGTAGATACTAAATCAAACGGGCCTCAGCCAGATTTTGCATCCGACGGCCGCCAGACTGATACCGGTTCTACTGTTCTGCTGAACTCGGTTTCCTACCAGTCCCGGCTCCTATATCAACAAAGCGACTATGTCGCTCTTCGAATAGGTAAAAATAAGTATAAAAACTTACTTAGAACCTCAGCTCCATCATAAGCTCTTGCGGAGCTATCTCATAGTTACTGTATAGCTTCGCTCTGCCGTCGCAGTTCAGCTTCTTCAGCTAATTTAGCTTGTAGCCGCGCTACGAGTCGTATACGAGACATCTCTCTCCGTTTAGCGTTCCATTTGGCGCGCCTCTCGAGCGCATCCCGCTGTCGCTGGGCAGCCTCGCTCTCCTGCTGTTTTTTTGTTGCCATGGTCGCGCCCCCTTTGGCGCCCCCTTTGGCGCCCCCTTTGGCGCCCCCTTTGGCGAGCGCATCCCGCTGTCGCTGGGCAGCCTGCGTCGCGCGCCCTTTGTCGAGCGCATCCCGCTGTCGCTGGGCAGCCTCGCTCTCCTGCCATTTTTTTGTTGCCCGCGTCGCGCGCCCTTTGTCGACCGCATCCCGCTGTCGCTGGGCAGCCTCGCTGTCCTGCCATTTTATTGTTGCCTGCGTCGCGCGCCCTTTGTCGAGCGCATCCCGCTGTCGCTGGGCAGCCTCGCTCTCCTGCCAATTTTTTGTTGCCTTGGTCGCCAACGATTTTATATTCCAGTACTGGAGTACAGTGCGTAACAAGCTGTCCTCCTTTGGCAGCAGCCGTAATTTCTCCACAAACTCCGCGTGTTCGGGCCTCGAAAGGTAGTTGGAGAGGATCTGACGTCCCTCTTCGTGCTCCAGGATGATCCCGGATTCCTTTTCCACGTGTCGAAGTTGGATAATACATCGCAACAGGTCGCGTGGAATCGCATCCTGACGGTCCGAAAAGAAACCCTCCTGCGCAATAGGTACGCCGCTCCATTGGCATGCCGCATTCCAGATAAGGTCATGTAGCAGTAGGACCTCCTTTATTGGGTCCTTTGCCACAAGAAACCACATCCCGTGGTAGCTGAAAAAGATGACGTGAAGTATTTGCCGGGTTTTCTTATCCCGGATAACCACGCAAGGGTCCCGCCCAAATAGCTTAAAAGGAATCCGGAGGGAAACGTCATCCACAAGTAAGTCCTCGTCGCCATCAAGCAACTGGCGGACAAGTTTGGAGTTTGAAGCCCCCAAAACGATACTAAAGGGGGCTGATGTAAGGGCCTCCTTTGCAAAATCGTGACAGACATTCACGATATCTTCTGTATAGTTAGCAAACAATTCTTCCCATTGTGGCCCCAGGGAGTTGTAAATCCTTCTCATGGGATAGGTGTCTTGAGTCCGGACCCTGCTATTGTCAGCAATTTTCTTCCACTGGTACTTTAAACAAGGGTTAGATCTATCTAGTGTTAACCCGAAATAACGCTTCTTTGTCGCAAAGGTTGGATAATGCCACAAACAGCATAGAGCTGCTTTCTGTGGCCCCGATGGTTTCGACAACAGGCGTATAATAGAGTCGTCGAATCCGACTCCACGGAGTTGCTCGACGACGTCGGACCAGGCTCGATCCATGTCGACGTCGTGGGTGGCCCAGGTTGAGCCATTCTCGTCCTCCAGGAAGGCGTCCATCTCCACTGAGACAGGGTTGCAGACGACGTTCTGTTCTAAAAACCGAACAATGTCATCTTTCTGATCCTTGTCACGGATTAGGGACAGGAACACTTGACCAAAATCAGCGCCGTCCGCGCTGAAACTTTTCTTAACTTCGTCTAGGAAACTCAATTCCTGCGGGTTCTCGTCGTCGTATCGCACCTTTTTGGCCAAAGGTGCACTGTCGTCAGCTTGTCGCTCGTGCTTCGCCATTATCGTCTCGGTCGTGTCTTGTTGTGTATATAATCGCTTTTATAGTCGAATCGTCCGAGAGATGAAGCTTACTGAACAAAAGACAAGGACAGAAAAATCTTCCATCCATACTCATAGTATCCTCCCATCCTGTCGACCTCGTCCGCTCCTTCCTTCCATAGCGACGAGATGTAGGCAGACATTTTAAGCAAGTAACTACGCCATACACAATTCGCCTTGGGGAGAGGGCAAGTTTTTTTGGACTCATTTTGAAGCTATAGAGTTACACAGTCTAGCTCTATTATGGGCGATTTATTTTCCCTTTCTTTTTGGAAGATGAAGCTCTTGAGAGACCTGATGATATTTGTGAGCGACTGGAGTTATTTGTGTAATGCAATTGGCAACTGCTCGATGTAAGTGGGTCTCGGAACTGACGACTTCCCAATATATACAAGCGCACAACCTGGCCATTTTAGCAAGCCTTGTACGTACCTAGGTACCTAAAGGTAAAATCAACTGCATCATTACTATACCTACGCGCGGGGGGGGGGGGGTTTCTGGACAGGGCTTGTACAATAGTTAGACGCGGAAAAATCTGTTCGCGCCCTTTCATGGCCTGTCGATAGCGGTAAAACAAGTTTAGTGCAAGTATCTTCTTTATACTAAAAGAAGTGCAAATTTAGTATAGTGTCAGTATACGAAAAGATACTGCGCGTATAGTTCTTATGCAAAAGACTACCTGCCGCTTGCTTAATCAATGTCGCTGGTAAAGAGGTGTCAGTTGCAAAATCCTGTCCAAAAACAAGAGATGTTCACGCGCCGCACATGTCCCAACAGAACATAAGTTTTAATAGAAAAAAATATTTTTACCACGCAGGGAAATCTTTCACTCAGCAGATAGATTATTTTTCAAGTAAACAGATTTCTCTCATCAATATATGTCCACCCTTACATCATTACAAGATCCAGCGCTGTAAAGGAGTACATATCCCAGAACATTCCAGTCAAACCAAATTCTCCATGGCGTATAAGACATATAATACCAGTGCATCATCTAATACACGGTGGCACATTTTACAATCTAAGCGCAATGATTTGTATTTATATAGCGAAGTTCTGAATGTAGAAAAGAAAGCAAGCTCTTAAATAAACGTAACCTATAGATCAAAGCGAAATTAATAAAGCTCTGTTGCAAAACCATATAAAATCCCATGTCGCAATGGCGGCGGCCAAACTCCTTTCCATCTCCCATTGTCCCATTCCTTGTGCATGCTCCAGATAGACCATAAACCGATTGTAGAACTGTGCGAGATTGCGAAATAGCATTTAATAAAACTTTGGTGGCACATGTTGTGCATAAATGGCAGCGTAGGCCATGCTCCCAGATCGCGCAAATAGAAAAGGTGCTGTAAAATCATCCAGCGAATTAATAAACTCCAAACTCTCGATGCCAGAACCAGAAGCAAATATTTATGTGGCCGAGTAGTAAATCCCTAGATTGCGAAAAAAAAAAGAAATGCTTATAGGGGCGTCACGGAACGGCTTCTTCCCTAAGCTGATAGTAGTCGGCCAAAGCGGCGACAACATCAAGAACTCGTGATGAGAATGTATATGAGAATGTATATGAGAACAGTTGGCATTATAAGATGAGTATTCTCTTTTCATTCCATTATTCCATATGAGGTTCAACATTAGCTTCACCATTGAGCGTAGTGTTCACCTCTTCGTGTCCAATATCCAGCGCTGGATTAATCGCAATATCTTGTCCGACTTCACGCTCAGGCTCCTCCTGCTCATGTCCAGGTACCCGCTGAAAAACAGGATCAAGCAGATTGTGGTGACCAGTGTCGTTAATATTGTTGCCCTGGTTATAATCTGATGTAAATATATCGGCATAATCTTCCCAACCTGGTGGAACATCTGTCATCGTGGGATGAGCATTCTCATCAAGATGAATGGTCTCCGTACCATGTTCTCCGGTCTGCGAGGCTGCTTCCTGGTGATTGATTGGAGAAGGCGATTTTGCAACTGAGGATTCGGCATCTGCTGCCATTATTAATAGCCTAAATCGAGATTTTCGCTCTTCCAATTCTCGAAGGCGGGCGTCCTCATCGATTTTGCCATCAACTTCATCATCCTTGCCACTGACTTCACTATCTTCGACATCTGAAAGATTATCAGACGCTTCTTTCTGTTCGCCTTTTGGTTGCTCCGTTTTCTTCTTCCTGGAGGATGGTAACTTTGGCCTGGTTACTTTCTTTGTTTCTCCTTTCTTAGTTGCATGTTGTCCTTTCTTTGAATGCGATCTCAGCGAAGGATCCAACATACCCGCCGCTCCATAGTCTGGGTTGCTGATAATGAGATACTTGTCCATTTTCACATCAGCGTCTTTGAGCTCTACCCCAAACTTTTCCCCCTCTGGTGTCCTAAGTTCTGCAACTGTGCGCCGTATGGTTCGCGCAATCTCTGGGTTTGCTTCTGCATAGTCCTTCCATTCGGTAGGTAAGTATTCTTCGCTGAGATCTTCCATTCCGAGTAGTGCGCCAGCAAGTTGAGTGGCCGTTGGGCCCTTTTCAGAATCTTCGATGCCATTCTTGCATGCCCTGACAAAAGAACGATATATTCCGTCGTTTGCGCTGAAATATTTCTTTGAGTTAGGCTTGGAAATCGCTTTCTTCGCAATGGGCGTCCGCTTTGCCGCAGTCTTCTTAGCCGTAGTAGGCTCAGGCTTAGATGGCGCCATCTGTAGATGTACTACATTAGCACGTTGTGAAATTCATATAGAGGAAGATGAGGGATAATCTTTGATCAAGTCTTGCAGAAGAATTCTGATCCAGGAGCGTAATGCGGCCATTACCTTGTAGTTTGTAGCACGTTGCTGAAAATAATATCCCAACTCCAGCTTAACACCAAAGCGCCAAGAACGCACGAGGAGAAAGTAGCAAACTTGAAGAGAAAAGAACAAGAGAAAAGCTCCGATGAGTAGAATTAATATTAAATTATAAGATCCTGCGCTTTTATTATAATAAAGCGCGCTGTGGCTGGCGTAGGCGGCGATGCGAAATTAATTCGCTGTGTTGATGAGGTGGTGGAGAGGAGAAGTTTAAAATGAAGAGGCGCAGGCGGAGAGAGTTTGAAGTTGCAGAGCAAAAATGCGAAATGCCTGAGGCTCCTACACTTTATGATCCGGCGGCCAGCTGTGCAGCAAATAATAAAATAGACTGTTGATTGCAAAATATCTGGCGATGGTTTCAGTAACAGCTTTTGATGGCACTATATCTGATTCAGGAGATGCCGTACGACGGTTGTATTATATTGAAGAAAGCAAAGCGCCATACCAAGATACTACAAATATAAGAGATAGGAGAAGCTTCATCATGGCCAAATATATTTCTATAATAAATTCTAAGTGAGAGACTCGTAGACTATACGTATGATGTTGAGAAATAGATGCAACTGCATGGATCAAGTTTATTCCCAGCATAATATATAGCAGGCATCCTAATCTATGGCCTGACTTATTACATTAGACGCTCTTGTTAAGCTGAGCGATTGTGAAAAAAGAAAAAGATAAAAACAATGTAATATACAGATCTTTCCCGTACCATGATTCACCATCCCCAGTCAAATAGCATAGAAAAACTCCAAGACATAAGCTCCATAATCATCCCACGCCCATCCATGAATATAACATAACGCATTAACCGTCCAAAGATTCATCATCCTCCGACCAATCCGGTATGTATACCGTTGATTCCTTAATCTCCACGCGTCTCCGCTTGTTCTGTGGAGCTCTGGCGGGAAACAATGCCACCTCTGCTGACCTTGGAACGTGTACCTGAATCTATTCCTCTCTTGAAAACAGTCGAAGCTTTTCCTGGATGGCCGCACGAGTGTAGTCATCATTGGGGTCATCAAGTTTGCCGCGTTCTACATCCTGTGCAAGCTTAATCTGAGCCCCCATGTAGCAAAAGATCACTGCGTGCGTTAGAAAATGAGAAAATAAAATTTCGCAACGGGGCTTTAGAGACATACTTTTGCACCACCGGAGGACCTTCTTAGATGACTTTTTGAAGTCGACCTTGCTACTGACGAATTGAAAAACCGTTATGAACGTATCCAGGGTGTATTGTTCTGCAAGATGTGCTTGGACTCTAACAACGTCTTTCTCTCCATCCAGAAGCGTTGACCTCTTGCGAAGTTCTTTGAGATAATCCTGTGTTGTATAAGAGTCTGCAAGAGAGAGATGGCTATTTGCGAAACACTTACTTCATGCTTATCCATAGCGCGGCATCTCCAGGTGTTAATATTGTTTGCACACTTCTGACGCGCATCCTGCAGGACATATTGGCGGTCCGTTCCTTTGATGTGCTGAAAGTGAAAGTTTATGGCGTCCTCCTCAAAATCACGGTTGAGCCGACATAACATCCCGACTCTGCAGCTAACTTCAAACTGCTTGAACGTTTTTTCAAGATCCTCATTCCAGTCGCTCATTTCTTTTCGGCTCTTTCGCTTGACATGGGGGATCGGGATCACATCCTCTGTTGTTGGATCAGGAGCAGACCGTTTCTATGGTTGCGAAATAGTTTAGTAGGAGGATCATATAATAAGATAGTCAGTTTCACTCACACGTCGGTTATGATTTGTGACTGGCGCTGGTATCTCCTCCAAATCATCATCACTATCCTCATCCTCGCTCTGAGTCTCAACAACAGCCTCATTATTTAACCCAGGGTCAATGTTTGACTCATCTCCAAACATCTGAGCGTTAGATGAAGGTCTTGGCTGGGCTGATTGCTCTTGGGTTTGGTTAATGGATTGTCCATCATTGATGAGGCTGTCTGAAATGCGGAATTGCGTCGGTAGCATGGCATTAAATAGATCTGTAGCGACAGAATGGCTGAGGCGTCTTTCGGGATTGTTGCCATGGGGCGGCTGTCCTAGATCATCATCAAAATGGCCGGGGCGTCTCTTGGGATTACTGCCATGGGACGGCTGTCCCAGATCATCATCAAAATGGCCGGGGCGTGTCTTGGGGGTACTGCCATGGTCCTGCTGTCCGAGATCATCATCAAAATGGCTGGGGCGTCTTTTGGGATTGCTGCCTTGGGACGGCTGTCTCTGAGAGTTAGTAAGGTTGCGAAATTATCTTTGGGGCTTGCTTACCCGTGGTGTGCGGTTTTGGCTGCTTGGTTTGCTCTTCTTTTGCCGCCTGTGCTCGTTGTTCTCGCCTGGCTCCATTATCGATCTGGTAGGAGTGCGTGCGACCGTCTGAGTAGATTGCGAAGAGATGTAAGAAGAGAAAGACATGATAGTTTTGCCGAAGTTGGAAATACCATTTTGGGCAGGGCAGCTTGGTGTTGGTGCAGGAGGAAGGTGCAACTTCTAAATGCATCTGGCAGCGTTCACATGCTTGCCAGTGCCGTCACTGCTGGGGGCTATCGATAAGCCTGTGGAGTTCAGCGACCCACTAAAATTTTATCTCAGCTTTAGAAAATGTTCCCCTCCTCATTAACGCACAAACACCTTCTCACCACGAAGAATAGAACGAGTACTTGCCCATACTTTCTCCTTTTCTTTTACAATCGACTTACTGACTCTGAAATAGGCAGCCAGGAAATCTAGCAGCATCACTCGATCACAATGCCGCGGCGAAATTACAAAACTCCAAATATCGACATTCCCTTTGTGCGAGATAACCCAGCGGACTTCGAAGGCTGGGCGCAGCGGAGGCGTGAGCAAGGCCGCAGAGAGAGCGAGATTGACACAGCGAGTAATGGCGATCAGGGGATTTACGATGATGGGTTGCAAAATGCCGCAAGCAGCCCGGAAGCAGCTGGATCCCCGACACAGGCAACGGCACAATCTCTGACTGCGTCTGCGTTGCGAAATATCCAGACGGCGACGCAAACGACAAGAAGACGCATTATGCATTGGGTAGATGACACAGTTTCTCTGGTTACGCCTGTGGGGGGATTTCGCAACGTTACTGGCGGTGGCCTTAATGACCTAGACGACGAGACATTTCTTCAATACCAGGCGCAGGATGATCCCCATAACACTCTAGATGTCGTCAACAATATATTGCGAAATAACACTCGCCATGTCCAGGTTTCCAGTGACCGTGAAATGAGTGAGCCAGCAGAGGATGTAATACCCGATCTACCGGCGTCTCAGGAGGCAATTGGCATGCAAAATAATACATCAGAGCGCTTGTCCGATGCCAACATCCCCCTACTATATGATCACGATGAGGATGTTATTACACTATTGGATGCTGATGAGGTTGATTTTGAGAATATTAACGATATGCAATTTTCTCAGTTACCTAAAACGAATCAATTGCTTCCAAGTGTCTTTTGTTGACGACCAATTCACTGGACCAGTGCAGTGCAGTAAGTGGGCTGTTGCTGCTAACGAAGGTACCTACTAGGTAATAGTCTGGCAGTTAATGCGAGGTGACCTGCCACTTCTCCTTTACCCTCACCAAAACCAACCAAATCTCTCCTCTTTTCGCCAATCAACCCTCCCCATCGCATCGGCAGGGCATCATCGCGACTCGCCTGCTGCCGCTCTTCCTTTTTCTTTTTCTTCGCTTCGATCCTTTTTTCCCGTTTTAGTCAGTCTGTTTGTGCCGCTTGGCGCATGGAAGCTGTCGACGGCCTCTTTATCCGCCCCTCGAGCCTCAAGCTAGCTCTCCCCAGCCTCAACACCGACTCTGTGAGCCGCGGCAATTTCGACAGGCGGCTCAATTGCCCTTACCTCACGAGTATACTCCCATCGACGACGGTACAACTGAGGTCAGATACTCGCCTACACTACCAACCTTGTCTGCCTTTGAGACGGCACTTCATCTATGGGAAGAACAAAACGGCATCTCCAGACATGGCCATCGAAGTTTATGCGAGGTATTGAAGTTGGCTCAAGACATTAACGAATTGCACTAATTGCCGTTATGGAAAGACACGCTGAAGCAGAGATTTGATCGCAGCCTTCCATTACTTACGCTTCGCCAACGTACTGTCGACCTTAACCCAGATGTTTTACCAACCAGAGGCAAGTTGAAGGAAGATGTCTTAGTGTTCGATGTGAAAACCATTCTTCGGGTTTTTCTCAGTTCGCCGATCAATCGAAATCTTCTTTACAGAGGAATGGCCATTTACACTGATGGCAAAATTACCGAACCATGGCAAGCAAGGTGGTGGGGAGAGTCAATACGAACAACATCAGGTCACTGTATTCGCGACAGTACAGGAGAACCAATCTGGCCATCGGATTTTGTCACTTGGTCTGCTACAGATGCTGGTAGCGCTGACATTTAATACGGGCGAGTGATTTGGTGTGGCCTGGACCATACTTCAGAGGCAAGACAAAATAATTACCTTGGGAGACAAATTATTCGGATCCAAGAAGTTTATCCCACAACGTCATTGCCGGAGGATGCTAGCGATTTCGCAACCGCTGGGGTAAGGTTTTCGCAAACGTTAGGCGACCAGGTCGAATTTGTTGTCATTAATGATGCAACCCATCTCCTGGAACCTACACAAATTCAAGGTCGCCTACATAATGTATATCTTGATTACAACTTCGATCCTACAGGCAGTATTTCTCCTCTTTCGCAAAGGTATACGGTTCGATATTTCTACACGCGATCTTTAAACAAATATCGGCCTGTGAAGCTCACGACGCCGCTGCGCGCTGAGAAAGAAATACAAAACTTAGGCCGCGAGTATCTCAAAAGCCGATTTACCAATCCTGAAATGATATTAATGCCATTTCACCTGTTTGTGGATGCATTTGGCTTATTCAGAAACATGTACCGCTCAATAATGGGATTTTATTTAATACCGCAGTTTATCGAGAGATTATTTCGCAACTAACGTAGAAGTCTTATTACGTTAACACTTGGTCCATTTAGGTCCCAGCTTGCCCATATAGTCCAGAGCTTAGGACACATCTCAGAACTTGATCGGGGCATAGATCTGGAGATCAATGGTGAAACTATATTCGTCTGCTCATTTATCGCCAGCTTTATTGGCGACATGCCACAACAGCAACAGCTTGCGGGATGCCTTGGTCCAAGAGCTACAATGGGATGTCGGTATTGTCTCGTGTCGTCCAAGCAGAGATCAAACCTCAACTTTAATATAGTTGAATTTGGTCGTTACGCTGAGCAAACTCGGAATGATGTCGAGTGCATAAAACAAATGCGCCTGAAGAAAGATAAGAAAGAGAAATTAAAAGATCTCGGGCTTCACGACGACTGGGAACTAATGAATAGTCTTGGTAAGTAAAAAGTATTATTAAATATCGGGCTTTGGGTAACAAGAACTTCTACAGATGTGTTGGCACCGTCAATTGATTTGATCAGAGGCCGGCCTGTTGATGCAGCACACTCTGAGTATCAAGGTCTTGCGAAATTATTATTTACACTTATATTTGACGATCCATGTATTTTAACAACTAAAGCATGCACCAGTTTTACAAACGACTTTCGCTCATTTACATTTCCACCGGGATAGAAGCGCTTGCAATCACCATCACGACATCTCAAATCTTAGAGGATGCAAGAGCTTGCACAAGGTTTAATAATTCTTCCTGTGTTTCTGCGCATTTGGCTTCAGCAAAAACATATTAAGCCAGAATTCTATTTAGTTTTTTCTTAAATCGCCGAGTAATTTTTTGATTTCAGTTCATTTACCCACGATGCTGCCACCTTTACCTGTGTCGAGTGGATTATCGTTGCTTGCTGGACGTTTGCGAAATCTACACTTACCGTCTGCGGCCCCCTTTCATACTCACAGCTGGACCAGTTTCAAGAACAAGTTATCGCTGGCAGGCGGGCGATTCAGTTTTTAATTCAAGCTTGTGCCATTGCGTCCAAAAGTCGCACACGCAAGTTCTCTCCATCCTCAAGTAATCCCAAAGCACTCATTAACTTCGTGAGCAGGTAATAAGAACAAGCCAGCGCAGCGATCCGCCCCAACTCCATCTCAGCGCCTCATGCGACATTCTATCGCAGCTTCATCTCAGTTTAGTGGTGGTAGCAATACGCAAACTGGTTTCGAAGAGGCGTCGACGCCATCCAGAGCGCCAAGTACAATAGCTTCCGGAGCAGCAGACGCAAGAAACACGGAAGCATCCGCAAGGCAACCTCTATCAGAGAAGAAAGGTTTGCCGAATATGCATATTGGCCTTCATCTGAAAGAAGTGGCAATGGAATACGGCGGTTGCAATATGGTGTTTACATTATTAGGAGAGGATAAACACAGGTAATATACCGCTTCCCAATAGCGGCCGTCAGATACGACAACTAATTTTTTTACAATAGAGAATTTAAGGCCGATATTTTACACACCAACTTCCATAATGCTGCAGCAACTCTGATCCATAGAGAAAATTATCGGCTTACTGTCTCTTTTCTACTTAACGGCTGTTTTGCTATAACAAACCCAGAGTGCCACGAACTCTTCTCTATAATCTTACGCGGCTGCCCAACGCTTTGCAAATCACTCAACCCGCGACCAGGAGAAGATGAAAACAATATCGAAGAAACATCCGAAATCGAGCTGATTAGCGATTTAAAACACAAAGATCCGATAGCGCTTCACCGAGTTCTATATAGCAAGCAAGATTCTGTTCGAGATCCCCTCATTGGCATGCGAAGCACGAGAGGCCTCGGTGAAGAGCACGAGTTTTGCCATAAGCTAGAAGAGGCATATAAAAAGAGTTACGGCCAGTCTGTTTTTCCACACCTTGAATCAGGCATGATCCAGTGGTCCCGCAAAGTGTCTTTTGCAACCAGGTAAGATGATGATTCTGCATGCCTCTTCTCTTGCTCCACCGCTCATCTTCCACAGGCGTACCGAGCGTATTTGCTTTCAGCTAGGGGATTTTATTGCGACTAGATCCTCATACGCGCGTATTATGGCTTTATTTATCCACTCTCGAGCGGTATCCCGACATCTATTTGCCATCGTCCAGTTTGCAGTTCCAAGAAGCGGCAATGAAGCCAAAGAGTTCCTGCTAGACGTTGACATCTACGATCTAGAAGAGGAGCGGCATATTATCGGTTTACCAGACATCGGAGATGAGAGATTATGGATGGTCCCTCGGTATGATGGCAGCTTTTTATTTATTGATCACAATGTGTATTTTATGTAGAGCAGAGTATGACTTTTACAACGACGGGAAGACAAGCTTGGAAGCGGTTTGCCTCTGCATTCCCCCTTTCTAAATATATAATATCCCAATTTATTATATACCAATGTATTTCGCCAGCAGTGATTAATTTCTCAATGGCCCCTACTCAATGAAATTGGGGCATATGAAATTCTAGTAGTGACCATCGTAGTCCATTCTGTAAGCCTTTATTTTACAGCAGGCCCTTGATAAAGGGACGCTGATTCCAAAGTGAGCAAGCGATACCACCACCCAGCCGCTACCTTCCCATTGTCTAAGCTGCCCCGCTACGGCATCTCGATCATACCGGCATCACCTTGGTTTTCTCCCTAGCACTCGGTGTTTGTGATGTTACAGCGTCCTAGCTATCGAAGCTGCAGTCTACTCCGCAAGCACTCATCGATCTTGGCAACACGATATTCGACAAGAAACTTTTATGCTATGCTAGCGACACTAGATGGAGGATGTTGATGCTGAGCCCTATAATAACAAGCGATTGTGATATCTTGAGCGGTCAGCTGCAGTCGACCATGCAGGGAGCGAGTCCTGGAATCAGTCTGAACACAGAGTTGCAAAAAGGCAGGGTTTTCCTACCTATCGCCTACCGAGAGCAGATCTCAGGTAACGCCTGTGCGTTTTCCAGTTTTTGCAACCGTCCTCTGAGCGGTCCCATCTTGATATCGATGGCAGATATGCAGGCATTTATATCCAGTCTGTCTGCCCATTCTTCAGATAAGTTATTTTACAATCTGTCATCCTCTGATGGAGCTGACATGGGGATCAGACAGAGGAGTATCGAGATGATATAGCAACTTCACGAGCAATCGATTCCGATGCCAAATAGGCGATGGTAGAGAAACGGGAGATTGTTATCCGCCTGCTTGCTACCTCAGGTATGCTCTTCTCGTTATAGAATTCATATCTGCTGATGTAAGATTGTCAGCTCCAAGGCATCTCCAAAAACACGACACCGCTTCTCCCGAAACGCGCGATGCGTTGAATGAAGTTGATATAGAGGACAAAAATTCGGCATCTCCTTCTCTTCTCGCAATTGGAACAACTTCCAGATTCCGCACACCACGAGATTGGATCAGGCGTTCTGGTTTTGTTGGAGCAGAGTATCCCAAAGAGTATTTTACAACGGTAAGTTTTTATCAATATATAACAGATGATTTCTGTTCCTGATCTCTTGAGTTATAGAGATGGGTATGGACCCTGAGTAAAGATGAGTATTCTCCTGTTATGAGATTAGTTTACTAACTGAGCAGAAGAATTAATATTAATAACTAAATGATGTTTGATCTAATGGTATATCTTATGATCGGTAAGTCTTCCCCCTGGTATGTTTGTTTATGTATGTCCTTTCTCCGTGGTTATATTAATCTCTGGAGTTGCTGGCCTGGTTGTCCTTGGAGCTGCTGGCCCTGGGGATACTGTCTCTGGAGATACTGCCGCTGGCCTGGTTGTCCTTGGAGCTGCTGGCCCTGGAGATGCTGTCTATATGGATGCTGCCGCTGGCCTAGTTGTCCTTGGAGATGCTGCCGCTGGCCTGGCCGTCTTTCTGGGTTCTCTTTTTTCGCTGTACTATGCTGGCTTGTCCTGGCAACGCCAATGTCAGTGTCTAGGATTGGCAACGTGTTATTGTTAGACAGTCTTTACAATATACCTAGGTACCTGTAGCTAATGATATGACTTCTCTGATGCGTGCACCTGCCTGACAGCTGCACCTGCCTCAGTTCAACTCAACCCCCATCATGTGACCCCCCGTGACTGCCAGCCATTGCATAACTATTTATTCTTCTCTTCTCTCTTCTCTCTTCTCTTCTTTTTTTTCCTTTCCTCATGCGCACAACATTTCCGTAAGTTCACTCCCAAGCGCCCCATGCCTCATATTCCATCATATCTGCTCTTGTTCCTCTTCCCTTTCCTCTTGCTCTTTACTTTGATGAGCATCTTCTACTTCCTGTTCCCTTTCCTCTTGCTCTTCACTTCGATGAGCATCTTCCACTTCCACTTCACCAGCATCTTGTCTTCCACTTCCACTCCCCCAGTAGAAGATGCCAGCTCTTCTGCTCCCACTCCACCATCCTCTTCAGCCTCATTCACCTTTCTCTCATCTCCCATCTTCCACACCTACATGCAAGTGAATGTCTGTGTGGACATGAACTGATGAAATATAGATGCTCCGTCAAAAGTTTTTTTTTTTTTTTTTTCCAAAAAAAATTTCACAATGGGTAAGAGTAACATCATGTTCAGCCTTGTTTTCCATTTGCTGCAGCGCACTAACACTCTAGAACAGCTACCGAACAACAACCATCTGACGACGCCATTAACCAAATGGAAGGCCTCAAGATCACAGACAATCCGCACAAAGGAAAAAGGTGCTACAACTGCTTGGAGCCAGACCATATTGCCAAAATGTGCCCGAAGAAGAGAATTCGACGCAACAGTATGTCTTCTCGCTGTTTTTTCACATTCTTGTTTCTTCTCGCTGTTTCTTCTCGCTGTTTTTTCACATTAATGTTTCTTCTCGCTGTTTCTTCTCACTG